ATATATTTAAATAGTGGAGTAGGGTGGGGTTATTATTATTATTAGTATAGTTTTTGTGAGTGTAGTGTTAGATGGTGGGTTATTTGTTTATTTATTTTTTCAAGCAAAGTATAAGGGAGTATTCCAGTGTAGGAGGAGGCGGGGTCGTTATTTACAGGTTATGGGTGCCTTATGGAAGAGGGGAAGAAATGTGCCATACATAGTCAGGAAGGTGCAGGAAGCAGTTGATGAGGTAGAGCGGTGGGCACTAATGTGGGGATTCAGGTTCTCTGTAGAGAAAACTCAAACAGTGTTCTTTACCAGGAGGAAGGTGGGAGATGAGGTATGTTTGAGGTTACATGGGAGAAACTTGGAGAGGGTGGGGGCCTTCAGGTTCCTTGGGGTATACTTTGATACTAGACTGACCTGGGCAGAACACGTTGAGAGAGTGGTGGGAAAGTGTAAGAAGGTGCTAAATGTGATGCGCCGTCTGACGGGGAAGGAGTGGGGGGGCTGGGCGTTCCTCATTGAAGACCATGTATGTTGCATTGATCCAATCTGTAATAGACTATGGCAGTATAGCATATGGTTCGGCAGCCCGGACCTCACTGGAAAGGCTAGATGTCATACAGGGGCAAGGACTCAGAATATGTAGTGGGGTGTTTCGGACGTCCCCAGTGGCTGCATTACAGGTGGAGATGGGGGATATGTAGTCAGTTGGTAGAGCATGGCGCTTGCAACGCCAGGGTTGTGGGTTCGTTTCCCACGGGGGGCCAGTATTAAAATGAAAATGTATGCACTCACTAACTGTAAGTCGCTCTGGATAAGAGCGTCTGCTAAATGACTAAAATGTAAATGTAAATATGCCGTTGCAGATTAGGAGACAGCAGCTGGCAATGAATTACTGGGTCAACCTACAAGGACATGGGGTGTCTCATCCTGCGAAAGGGATTTTACAGGCATGCTGGGAACATGAGCGAAGACCGAACATGAGCTTTGGGTGGGTGGGTAATACCCAGGCGAAGGAGAAGGGACTGTATGGAAGGGAGTTTAGTCCAACGGTAGCTATTCCTGTAAATCCACCATGGCTACTCCCGCCTCCAGTCGTTGATCTAGAAGTGTTGGAGAGACTACAGAAAGATAGGGAGGGTGTTGATCCAGCTGATTTCTTTAAGAGACGTCTGGAAACTGTATATCAGGATTTTGTGGCTATTTACACAGATGGTTCAAAAGATCCAAGGACAGGACGTACTGGGTCAGCATTTGTAGTGCAGGAATGTGGGGTGGAAGTCAGGAAACGTATTACAGATCATCTGGCTGTATATACGGCGGAGCTAATGGCCATACTGTTGGCCTTGCAGTGGGTGGAGGAAGTCAAGGCAGACAGAGTAGTTATTCGCTCTGATTCCTGTGCAGTGTTAATGAGTGTCCAGTCCTTTAGCTCACGTAGTAGACAAGACCTGCTTTATGAGGTACTACAAACCCATGGCAGGGTTAGACAGATAGGTATTCAGATAAGATTTACTTGGGTCCCAGCCCATGTGGGGGTGGAGGGGAACGAGGCAGTAGATGAACAGGCTAAACAAGCACTTAGTAGTGGGGATGTTGATGTTGTAGTTTCAATGAGCAAGGCAGAGGCAAAAAGACTGATATATACAGTGATGGTGCAGAGATGGCAGGAGCAGTGGAATAGAGATAATAAGGGAAGGCATTTATTTCAAGTACAGAGGAATGTCGGGGAGGGGAGGACGGCAGGAAGGGACAGAAGAGAGGAGGCTATTTTTACAAGATGAAGGGTGGGACACGGCCAGTTAAAGAAGACATTAAACGTGACAGGAAAGCATCCATCAGGAAAGTGTGATTATTGCCAGGAAATAGAGACTGTGGAACATGTATTGCTACAGTGTGGGCAGTATCAGAGGGAAAGAGAGAGGATGAGATGTAGTATGAGGGAGAAGGGGATACAGGAAATTAGTTTAAAGAGTATATTGAGTAGAGCGTCATTAGATATAATCTCAAATATTTTGTTATCTTTTTAAACAGAAACGGGGTTGGCAGGTGGGATTTAGTTTCTCCCTGTCTCCAGTACGGTAGGTGGCGGTAATGCACCATAATGTTGGATGCCAACCGTCGATAAACCCCACTGAAGAAGAAGAAAAATAATAATGAAAAGGAGGAGGAGGTGGTGGCGGGAATAAAACGTTTATTGGATGCCAACCGCCGTTAAATCTCATCGAAGAAGAAGAAGAAGATAAAAAGACGATGTCCGTGGAACCTGGACCACAGCAACTAAAGTTGGGAGTGGGAAGGTGAAAACGTACGGTTGGATTCCATTATTCATCATGAACTTTGCACTCGTTCTCCTCTGGTCTCTCTCAATAACCAATGGTAAGTACAGTAACTAGCTAGCTTAGCTGTAGTTAGATCCCTGTAAGGGATGGCTACCTTAGGACGGAGTTGGGATGATATAAGGATACAATTGTTATGTCTTTGCATCCTCTGGGTGTGTTCGTAAATTCACTCTGGAGTGCTGGCAGAGCTGTTTAGGCTGTTTTCATGTTATCTAGGGCGTTGGTGACTGTGCTGCTGGCAACAATTTAATAACGTTTTTTTGCAGACGTTTACGGACACCGGTCATATTCAACGGGTGTTGCGCGTTGGTAAATTCATCAGTTAATGTGAACTCAGGCACACTCAGACCAGAGAGCTCTGAAATTGGAATAGACAGCCAGAGTGAATTTACTTACACACAGATAGGTAGCTGTTGACTCTCCTTTCCGTTACATTACACACAAGTCATTGGACGAGGTAGTCTTCTGTAGGGGAACATTTTGTTAACCGCGACGCTCGGTCTGAACGTTATATATACACGCATCGCGTGGGGTACGGTTTTGCAGGCATAAGGACCTTATATTTCATATCGGGTAGAAATAACTAAAACCAAACTAAATGTTAAATTGATACTCTCCTTTATATGGTTAAAGTTCCCACACGGCTATATTTCCACGTTACAGCGCTACCTGTCCTAATTAGTTAGCTGTCTGCGTCTCGGAACACCTGTGAGGAAACACACGTCGCAAATGTGTATTCACTGAAAAATACTGTCGGCTGCAACTGTGTACCTTTAAAACAGTGTATATTTTGCGTTTGTGAAATTAATTTGATGTGATATGAAAGTAAAGGGAATTGTTTCTAGAACCGTACTGCAATTGTGAATCGATTCACGTTTAGATGGAGTATTTGGCTGTTTTGTTTTCGAGCAAATTTGCGCTTTAAACGTTTTACATTTACATTTTAGTCATTTAGCAGACGCTCTTATCCAGAGCGACTTACAGTTAGTGAATACATATTTTTTTTTATACTGGCCCCCCGTGGGTATCGAACCCGCAACCCTGCTCTATCAACTGATCTACATCCCTGCCGGCCATTCCCTCCCCTACCCTGGACGACGCTGGGCCAATTGTGCGCCGCCCATTAGTCTCCCGGTCGCTGCCGGCTGCGACAGAGCCTGGATTCGAACCAGGATCGTTTCCAATGGGAGTAAATTAGTCTGAGTTGGCAGAGCCAAGCACACGCGAGTTAGATCCTATTGGCACGTTCTAGCATGTATTTGCAAACTGGGTTTGGCGGATGCCAGGAGAACGCTCCCTGCCCGAATGCATAGTGCCAACTGTAAAGTTTGGTGGAGGAGGAATAATGAGCTGGGGCTGTTTTTCATGGTTTGGGCTTGGCCCCTTAGTTCCAGTGAAGGGAAATGTTAATGATACAACAAACAATGATATTCTAGATTATTCTGTGTGTCCAACTTTGTGGCAACAGTTTGGGGAAGGCCCATTCCTGTTTCAGTATGATAATGCCCCCGTGCACAAATCGAGTTCCATAAAGAAATGGTTTGTCGAGGTCGGTGTGGAAGAACTTGACTGGCCTGCACAGAGCCCTGACCTCAACCCCATCTAACACCTTTGGGATGAATTGGAACGCCGACTGTGAGCCAGGCCTAATCACCCAACATCAGTGCCCGACCTCCCTAATGCTCTTCTGGCTGAATGGAAGCAAGTCCCTGCAGCAATGTTCCAACATCTAGTGGAAAGCCTTCCCAGAAGAGTGGAGGCTGTTATAGCAGCAAAGAGGGGACCAACGCCATATTAATGCCCATGATTTTGGAATGAGATGTTCGACGAGCATGTAGTGTATCTTCTAATTGTTCTCTTTCATGAGGGAGGGTAATGAAAGTTCACAGAAGTAACAAGTGTTTTTAATGATAACAATTTCGTTTATGAATTATTAAGTGATTTAAAACTCATAATTCCATTACCAAATTGTTAATGGAATTTCTGAAAAAATTGGTAAGGGAATTTCTGATATTGAATTGGCTACAATGGGAAATCATAGTTGGGTTCACAAGTTTAGACAACGCATTAAAGTGGAGTACAGCACAAGAAAGAGAAAAGTAGAGTATAGTTCAGTACTTTGATGACCCAAATTGAACCAGGTTGTCTCTGCCGCGACCCAATATTCGCATTGCGAAAAATAATCGGCAAAATAAAATCTGGGAAACTATTTTTAATGCTATATTGATAGTAAATGTAGCAATTTATATGACAAGGGAACAACATTCCCATCTCTTTCATTGTCAATAATACACTTTTACCCTTATTCTTGATGATGAATGTTAATAAACTCACTGATAATAGTGCCGCTAATAGCTCTATATTGAAAAAAACATGATTGAAGAAAAATTCTTCAGAGATTAAATGATTTCCAAATGTAAATTCATTATCATTTCTACACACGTTCTACCTGGTTTAAGTCGTTTATGTTCAGACTGGAGTATTTATTCACTATTATTTTTACTCGGACACATTGAAAACCTCGACCCACCAGTTGAGAATCGCTGGCCTAAAGTATGCCAATGGTTAGGCTGTTTTAACTTCAAAGTTGCTGCCGAATCAGTTGATTATATCCAACTCCCATCATATAACGTGTAATGAATACGCCACCAAACAGTGAATAACTCTTTAATGACCCCGTCTGCCTGTCTTACTCGCTGTGTTTCAGTGGTTGCAGAGCTGTCTCTACCTCAGAACCTGACTCTGCTCACCCTGAACACACAGTACATACTGGCATGGGACTGGGACCAGACGACCACAGGCAACGCTGTTACCTTCACTGCAGAGTACATAGCGTAAGTCACCAGATGCACTCACAAAACCCCCTCCACCTCTCCTACATGTCACATACTATACCGTATTTCACCCCCACCCTCCACCCCTCCTACATGTCACATACTATACCGTATTTCACCCCCACCCTCCACCCCTCCTACATGTCACATACTATACCGTATTTCACCCCTCCTACATATCACATACTATACCGGATTTCACCCCTCCTACATGTCACATACTATACCGGATTTCACCCCCCCTCCCCCCCCCCCCCCCACCCTCCACCCCTCCTACATATCACATACTATACTGGATTTCACCCCACCCTCCACCCCTCCTACATATCACATACTATACGGTATTTCACCCCCTCCTACATATCACATACTATACCGGATTTCACCCCCCCCACCCTCCACCCCTCCTTCATGTCACATACTATACCGTATTTCAAGACTGCCTCATCACTGACCCGCTCACTCTCTCCCCAACAGGGTTTTCGAGATGAAGATGAAGAAGGACTGGAGCCGTGTGTGTGACGGGACCACACACACCCGCTGTGACCTCACAGGTTCTGATCTGCTTTATCTGGGCAGGTACATGCTCAGAGTCCGAGCCAGCGCAGGCGGTCTCCACTCACACTGGGTCTACAAAGACTTCTGCCCTCATATAGACGGTGAGAGAGGAATGGGAGAAGGCAGACCGACTTGGGCACAGATGAAAAATAAACTAAATGAGAGAAGATATCAGGAAAATAGACACAGTTTCAAACAGTCACATATTTAGACACCAACCCACACACAGCCAGACACCAACCCACACACAGCCAGACACCAACCCACACACAGCCAGACACCAACCCACACACAGCCAGACACCAACCCACACACAGCCAGACACCAACCCACACACAGCCAGACACCAACCCACACACACACACCCAGCCAGACACCAACCCACACACAGCCCAGCCAGACACCAACGTGTGTTGATTGAGCTTTCAGAAGTTGTGAAGGCACTCAAATCTATTGAAATTAAGAAAGCGTCTGGCCCGGATGAATTGAACCCTTATTTTCTAAAAATTGGTGCAGAGATCATTGCTGCCCCTCTCACTCATATATTACATATTTAATTGGTGAGTAATACCATTCCAAAAGTCTGGAAAGCAGCCTACGTCACGCCTTTACATAAGAGTGGAGATCCGTCCCAGTTGGATAACTATCGTCCATATCTAAACTGTCTGCACTGGCAAAAGTTTTGGAAAACCTGGTAAACTCACAGTTGAAAGACTTTATAATAACTCAGTTGTATCTCAATTCCAGTCAGGTTTTAGAACCAATCATAGTACAATTACTGCAGTAAGGTTGTAGGTGATATTCTAGATGCTCAGGACAAGACAAATCACTGTTTCACTTTCTATTGCCTTCGACACTGTTGACCATGCCCTGCTGTTGTATAGTCTAAAAAACCTTGGTTTAAGTGTTGATGCATTGGATTGGTTCCAAAACTACTGTTCTGACAGAACAGTGTGTAGCACAGGAGGGTATGAAATCTGAGTTTCGAAGTCTTACAAAAGGAGTTCCCCAGGGCTCAATTTTAGGTCTGATCCTTTTTACACTGTATATAAATGATATAGGGAAGACGGTTGACTCTGCAAATCTCCATCTGTATTCGGATGACACAATTATTCAGAGGCAGCTTTTTCGAATTGAAACTTGTGCTTAATGCAAGGAAAACAAAATGTATGGTTTTCTCTTCTCTGAAAGTAACCAGATGGAGTCACTTGCAGATTTGAACTATAAAAGACCAGCAAGTCGACAGGGTCAGGCTCACCTCCTATAAGCATTTGGGGATTTGGTTAGATTCAAAGATTTAAACAGCACATTGAAAACCTGACCAAGAAACTGAAGTTGAAATGTGGTTTATATTTTAGGAACAAATCTTGCTTTTCAATGTCAGTCAGAAAGGATCTTGTTCAAAGCACTTTGGTATTGGTGCTGGGTTATGGTTATATTGTCTATATGCAGGCCTCAGCAAGTACCTTAACTCTGGACACGGTGCATCATGGGGCTTTAAGGTTTATTACAAATGCTACATCACTTGCTATGGTGCAATGGACCAGGAGGCTAAAGCACTGGGACACTTTTGTGTACAAAGCATTGATATGACAACCAGTGGTGTAAAATACTTAAGTACTACTTAGGTAGTATTTTTTGGTATCTGTACTTTACTATTTCTATTTTTGCCTACTTTGAACGTCATTCCTAATGAAAATAATGTTATTTTTACTCCAGAAAGTACTTGTTACATTTACTCCAGAAAGTACTTGTTACATTTTGACAGGAAAATGGTCCAATTCACACACTTATCAAGAGAACATCCCTGGTCATCTCTACTGCCTCTGATCTGGCGGACTCACTAAACATAAAGGCTTGGTTTGTAAATTATGCCTGAGTGTTGGAGTGTGCCCCAGGCTATCCGTCAATAAAAATACAATTGTGCCGTCTGGTTTGCTTAATATAAGGAATTTGAAATGGTTTATACTTTTTGATACTTAAGTACATTTGAGCAATTCCACTTACTTTTGATACTTAAGTATATTTGAAACCAAATACTTTTACTCAAGTAGTATTTTACTGGCTGACTTTTACTTTAGTCGTTTTCTATTAAGGTATCTTTTACTTTTACTCAAGTATGACAATTGGGTACTTTTTCCACCACTGAGGACAACTCTCTTTGTATCTCTGTTCCTTATTGACCAGATCAGTCACTCAATACAGTCTTTGTTCACAGTCGCTGCTGTCCTTGTCTGTTCCTAAGGCTAGAACTGAGATGGGGAAACAGTATTTTTCCCATAATGCCCCTTCATCCTGGAATATGCTTCAAAAGATATTAAAGTTAGGGGAGTTGCCTGTATTTAAGACTCTGAGCGACGACACTGTTTGTGACAGCTGCAGTTGTTTCTAATCTTCAAATGTATCTGGAACTTGTGACACTTTTGTCTTTTGTGTGTATTTAGTATTTTTCTGTAATATTTTATGTACACCCTGCTATTTCCCTGTTTTGCCTTCTTGCCAGGTCGCCCTCGCAAAATAGGTTTTTAACCTCAATGGGTCGTACCTGGTTAAATAAAGGTTAAATAAAATAAAAAACCAACACACACACACACACACACACACACACACACACACACACACAACCAGCACAGATAGACAAACAGTTAATCTGTCCTTCACCAAGAATCATTCCCTGTACTCCTGAGTTGGCTGTATTGCAACTGCTCGTCCATATATTTATATATTCTTAATTCTATTCCTTTACTTAGATTTGGGTATAGGTTGTGAAATTGTTAGATATTACTGCACTGTCGGAGCTAGAAACACAAGCATTTCGCTACACCCGCAATAACATCTGCTAAATACGTGTATGTGACCAAAAACATTTGATTTGAACTATTGATGATTAGTGAGTTTATTTTGGTCTTATCTGTTCTTCCCCGTCTAGCTTCGTTGGGCCCACCATCCAGGGTGGAGCTGGCTCCTGTGGGGAACCAGCTGGAAGTGAACATCTGTGGCCCCCTGACCAGCACCCAGGGCTCCATGAAGGCTCCTGTGGGGAACCAGCTGGACGTGAACATCTCTGACCCCCTGACCAGCACCCAGGGCTCCATGGAGGATCATATCCCCTCCCTGTATTACCACATCCTGTACTGGAGCCGCTCTGATGACCCTCAGGTACTGGCTCAGCCTTCTGCCTTTTTCTATGGCCCCTAAAGACACCTGGGCCTCCCCTCAGTAACCCTGTGACTGCTATAACCTGGGCCTCCCCTCAGTAACCCTGTGACTGCTATAACCTGGGCCTCCCCTCAGTAACCCTGTGACTGCTATAACCTGGGCCTCCCCTCAGTAACCCTGTGACTGCTATAACCTGGGCCTCCCCTCAGTAACCCTGTGACTGCTATAACTAAAGACACCAAGACCTCCCCTCAGTAACCCTGTGACTGCTATAACCTGGGCCTCCCCTCAGTAACCCTGTGACTGCTATAACCTGGGCCTCCCCTCAGTAACCCTGTGACTGCTATAACCTGGGCCTCCCCTCAGTAACCCTGTGACTGCTATAACCTGGGCCTCCCCTCAGTAACCCTGTGACTGCTATAACCTGGGCCTCCCCTCAGTAACCCTGTGACTGCTATAACCTGGGCCTCCCCTCAGTAACCCTGTGACTGCTATAACCTGGGCCTCCCCTCAGTAACCCTGTGACTGCTATAACCTGGGCCTCCCCTCAGTAACCCAGAAGCTCCAACAACATGGTGTAACACTCTAAACCACCAACTTAAAGATAGAACACACCTGTGTTCCTAATGTGGTTTTCTATACAGGAAACTGGTTGGTGGGTTGTATTCTGAAAGGTTTTAAAGTGTTCCAAATCAGGCCAGGGCATTCAGATGGAATGCAAATGTTCTCTGGAACTTCTCCAGGTGAAACAATCTCAATAGCCATGCTGCTGTGTCCCTGTGTTACACCAGACCAGATAGATATGATTTCTCTGTAATCCACAGGTATCCCCAACCGTTCCACTTTTGTGACGTATTCAGTACTACCACAGATGATTCAACTTATAAAGGGCTTGATGATTAGTTCACCAATGGAATCCGATGTGCTAGTACTGGAATAGGTGAAATGAGTGGAACGGCAGGGGGTAGTCCAAGACAGGGCAGTGTATCCCAAACCGCTCTGATTATAACATGTTGTTATTGTATGATCAGGGTCTGAATCCTAAAGTGGAGGTCTCTAGCGAAAACCTGGTGACTCTGCCTGAGCTGGAGGCCTGGACGTGGTACTGTGTCATGGTCCAGTCTCGCTATGACTACTACAACAAGACTAGTGGCTACACGGCACCACAGTGCATGCAGACGGAGGGTAGGAATGAACACTTCACACTAAACACTTGGAGATGTGCTTGATGTGTGTGTAACCTACCTGTATCAGTGTGAGTAAGTATAATGTGTGTGTAGAGATGCCAGAGAGAGAGTGTTTGTGTTTTACAGGAGTATTTACACAATAAGGACACTGTAAAGTGTGACTGTGTGTCCTCGTCCTCAGGTGACACCCCGTACTGGCAGATCTTCCTGTACTTCCTGGTCTCCATGGTGGTGTGTTTCCTGTTCGTGTTGCTTCCCTCCTACGCTGCCTTCAGGTTCTACAGAGTCCTCAAATACGCCTTCTACCCCTCCATCCAGCTGCCTGCACACATCCAGGAGGTAGGCTTCATAGCCGCTTGCACAACAGTAATATCCGGTGTACCATCCATCCTCTCTGTTGGTGGGTGTGTGTCCTAAGGGTGGTTGGGATTAAGCAATAGACAATTAAGTTACCTTCTTTCTCTCTCACCACCTCTCCCCCCCACCTTCTCTTCCCCTCCCCCAGTACCTCTGTGACTCCTCTCCCGGCTCCGACATTCCCCGCCTCCTCACTGCTAAGGCAGAGCTGTGCTGTGATAAGCTGACCATCTGTCCTGAGGTGGTGCAGCTGTAGATACACGTCCCTCCTCCCCTAACAGCGCCCCCCTCAGAGCTGGAGCAGGACAGCGGCAGGCACAGCCGCCAGGGCAGCGGAGACTCTGGGGTCTACTCCACAGAGGGAGGCTCCGCCCAGCAGGGTCGTAGTGGTGGGGAGTCAATCAGGAGAGACCAGGAAGTGGACTCCTGGCAGACACTGGAGCAGGTCAAGATGGAGGAGATTGGGAGAGAGTCGACTGACGAAAGAGTTCTGGACGAGGGGGTTGTGGATGTGGGCGTCTGAGGAGAAATGGAGAGAGACCAGATCTGGGTGGATAGACTGTCAATGACGGTTGGAGATTTGTAATGGGGAAAGGAGAAGGGTCTCACAGAATGTTCTCTCAAGTCTCCCAGTCTTGCTGCCTCTCCTCAAAGAACACTGTGAAGATGAAGTCTCTCAGAGCCAAAGACACATCGTCACCTGTCCAACCTACCTTAAAGGAAAAATCCACTAAAGTCCCAACATGTTTTCCATGTCAAGTTTTCAAGATATTGGACTTTCAAGAAGCAAAGTGTAACTTGCCACATGATGATGATGAATCATATGATGCAAAACGCATCATCATCATCAGCCTTGTAGTTGCCGTTCCAAGCGGTGATGCAGCCAGTCAAGAGGCTCTCAATGGTGCAGCTGTAGAACAGCCTCCTGAGGGGTCGAGGCGCTGTCATGCCCTCTTCACAACTGTGTGGGTGTGTATGGACCATGTTAAGTCCTTAGTGATTTGGACACCGAGGAACTTGAAGCTCTCGACCTGCTTCGCTACCGCCCCATTGATGTGGATGGGGGCGTGTTTGCCCCTCCGTTTCCTCTAGTCTACGATCAGCTCCTGTGTCTTGCTGACGTTGAGGGAGAGGTTGTTGTCCTGGCAACACACTGCCAGGTCTCTGACCTCCACCCTATAGGCTGCCGGATCGTCGTCGGTGATAAGTCCTACAACCGTCGTGTCGTCGGCAAACTTGATGGTGTTGGAGTCGTGCGCTGCCACGCAATCATGGGTGAACAGGGAGTACAGGAGGGGACTAAGGACACCCCTGAGGGGCCCCCGTGTTGCTGGTCAGCGTGGTGGATATGTTGTTGCCTACCCTTACTGCCTGGGGGTGGCCCGTCAGAAAGTTCCGGATCCAGTCGCAAAGGGAGGTGTTCAGTCCCAGGGTCCTGAGCTTGGTGATGAGCTTCGAGGGGACTATGGTGTTGAACGCTGAGCTGTAGTCAATGAACAGCATTCTAACATACAGTTGAAGTCGGAAGTTTACATACACTTCGGTTGGAGTCATTAAAACTAGTTTTTCAACCACTCCACAAATGTCTTGTTAACAAACTATAGTTTTGGCAAGTCGGTTAGGACATCTACTTTGTGCATGACACAAGTAATTTTTCCAACAATTGTTTACAGACAGATTATTTAACTTATAATTCACTGTATCACAATTCCAGTGGGTCAGAAGTTTACATACACTAAGTTGACTGTGCCTTTAAACAGCTTGGAAAATTCCAGAAAATGATGTCATGGCTTTAGAAGCTTCTGATGGGCTAATTGACATAATTTGAGTCAATTGGAGGTGTACCTGTGGATGTATTTCAAGGCCTACCTTCAAACTCCGTGCCTCTTTGCTTGACATCATGGGAAAATCAAAAGAAATCAGCCAAGACCTCAGAAAACAAATTGTAGACCTCCACAAGTTTGCTTCATCCTTGGGATCAATCTGTACAAACAATAGTACGTCAGTATAAACACCAATGGACCACTCGGCAATCATACCGCTCAGGAAGGAGACGCGTTCTGTCTCCTAGAGATTAATGTACTTTGGTGCGAAAAGTGCAAATCAATCCCAGAACAACAGCAAAGGACCTTGTGAAGATGCTGGAGGAAACAGGTACAAAGGTATCTATATCCACAGTAAAACAAGTCCTATATCGACATAACCTGAAAGGCCGCTCAGCAAGGAAGAAGCAACTGCTCCAAAACCGCCATAAAAAAGCCAGACTACGGTTTGCAACTGCACATGTGGACAAAGATCATACTTTTTGGAGAAATGTCCCCTGGTCTGATGAAACAAAAATAGAACTGTTTGGCCATAATGACCATCGTTATGTTTGGAGGAAAAAGGGGGTAGCTTGCAAGCCAAAGAACACCATCCCAACCGTGAAGCACGGGGGTGGCAGCATCATGCTGTGGGGGTGCTTTGCTGCAGGAGGGACTGGTGCACTTCACAAAATAGATGGCATCATGAGGAAGGAAAATGATGTGGATATATTGAAGCAACATCTCTAGACATCAGTCAGGAAGTTAAAGCTTGGGTCTTCCAAATGGATTATGACCCCAAGCATACTTCCAAAGTTGTGGCAAAATGGCTTAAGGACAACAAACTCAAGGTATTGGAGTGGCCATCACAAATTCCTGACCTCAATCCTATAGAAAATGTGTGGGCAGAACTGAAAAAGCGTGTGCGAGCAAGGAGGCCTACAAACCTGACTCAGTTACACCAGCTCTGTCAGGAGGAATGGGCCAAAATTCACCCAACTTATTGTGGGAAGCTTGTGGAAGGCTACCTGAAATGTTTGACCCAAGTTAAACAATTTAAAGGCAATGCTACCAAATACAAATTGAGAGTATGTAAACTTCTGACCCACTGGGAATGTGATTGAAAGAAATAAAAGCTGAAATAAATCATTCTCTCTACAATTATTCTGACATTTCACATTCTTAAAATAAAGTCGTGATCCTAACTGACCTAAGACAGGGATTTTTTTACTAGGATTAAATGTCAGGAATTGTGGAAAACTGAGTTTAAATGTATTTGGCTAAGGTGTATGTAAACTTCCGACTTCAACTGTAGGTATTCCTTTTGTCCAGGTGGGTGAGGGCAGTATGGAGTGCAAAAGAGATTGCATGAGCTGTTGGGGCGGTATGCGAATTGGAGTGGGTCCAGGGTGTCTGGGATGATGGTGTTGATGTGAGCCATGACCAACCTTTCAAAGCATTTCATGGCTATAGATGTGAGTGCTATGGGGCGATTTGCCTGCTGGTCAGCGCATACTCCGAGTACGCGGCCTGGTATTCCATCTGGCCCACCGGCCTTGCGAATGTTAACCTGTTTGAAGGTCTTACTCACATCAGCTACGGAGAGCGAGATCGTACAGTCATCCGGAACAGCTGGGGCTCTCATGCATGGTTCAATGTTGCTTTCCTCGAAGTGAGCATAAATGGCATTTAGCTTATTTAGTAGGCTCACGTCGCTGGGCAGGTCGCGGCTGGATTTCCCTTTGTAATCCGTGGTGGTTTGCGAAACCTACCACATCTAACGAGTGTGCCTGTTGTTTTTTTATGTTACTTTTAAAAACATTAATTAGTTTGTCCTCGTATGATTCTTATAGAATCTGAAATCAAGAATTTGACCTCCTCTTTGTTTTGAAAGGTGCTTTGGTCCAACTGTTACTGGTTGGACCCCTGAGTCTTAAAACTGAATCCCTGAAGGTCTACGTTTATTGATGTCGCTCTTCCTCTTTCTGATGGTTTGTTCTGAGGTGAAACTCCCCTGCGGAACAATTTCCTCCTAGAGGTTTTTCACTATAAATACAACATCATTTTGTCCAAGTTAAACAAGAGGAAATGATCAGCATCATTTGGATAAAAGTTACATAAAATGCATCCAACAAAACCATACCTTGCATCTGTCAACGCCTCATAACCACAGCCAATGCAAATGTTTATTGCCTATGCTTTATCATACCTAGCTGAAGTCTGACGCAGCATTATAGTTACCTACTGTAAGTTAAAGTTGTCCTGGTGAATAGTGTGAAGAGAAAAAAAAAAAGTGTCTCATTTATATCGTTGGGCATGCTGTACAATACTGAACATGCTGTAAACTATTGCTTCCAAATGGAGTTGCATTCATATTAAAGAAATGATCTCTCATCTCATACCCCTTGCCTAGGTGTTTTATTGCATACTGATACTTCTATTTCACGGATCCATGCTGAGCTTGACCTCTGTTACATTTGTGAAGGAAACGTATTATTTATCAGTGAGTAACAACCACATGTAGCTGTGCGTATGTGCTGCTAGATGCACACAGTCACCAACTTTTGGCACTGTACTGATTTCCTGTGTAGTCTGGTTTCTTTATTAATCACACTGGTGCGGGAAGATTCGATCGTGAACACGCTGCTGCACGTAAGGTATGATGAGAATTAGAAAACAACACAACGCCGCAGATTCTTGAGCGCTTCTTGTCAACGTGACAGAAAGACAAAGACTAGACATAACAGAGTAAGCTTGAATCTGTGACACTCAAATGAGTATGATATGTTACGTTTGGTATGGTTACTTAAGCCAAAAACTAAAGGAGAGTGGTTGGTTGGGCGTATAATGCGAACGTCTAGCAATCCAAAGGTTGCATGTTTTATTTTTTTTTATTTTTTTGTGGGGGGTAGATCAGCTTAATACTGCAGATAGATTGTAACTTCCATCAATGTAATTGTCTGCATCACTTCCAATCCCCCATGTTTTATATATATATACAGTGGGGGGAAAAAGTATTTAGTCAGCCACCAATTGTGCAAGTTCTCCCACTTAAAAAGATGAGAGAGGCCTGTAATTTTCATCATAGGTACATGTCAACTATGACAGACAAATTGAGAAAATAAAATCCAGAAAATCACATTGTAGGATTTTTAATGACTTTATTTGCAAATTATGGTGGAAAATAAGTATTTGGTCACCTACAAACAAGCAAGATTTCTGGCTCTCACAGACCTGTAACTTCTTCTTTAAGAGGCTCCTCTGTCCTCCACTCGTTACCTGTATTAATGGCACCTGTTTGAACTTGTTATCAGTATAAAATACACCTGTCCACAACCTCAAACAGTCACACTCCAAACTCCACTATGGCCAAGACCAAAGAGCTGTCAAAGGACACCAGAAACAAAATTGTAGACCTGCACCAGGCTGGGAAGACTGCGTCTGCAATAGGTAAGCAGCTTGGTTTGAAGAAATCAACTGTGGGAGCAATTATTAGGAAATGGAAGACATACAAGACCACTGATAATCTCCCTCGATCTGGGGCTCCACGCAAGGTCTCACCCCGTGGGGTCAAAATGATCACAAGAACGGTGAGCAAAAATCCCAGAACCACACAGGGGGACCTAGTGAATGACCTGCAGAGAGCTGGGACCAAAGTAACAAAGCCTACCATCAGTAACACACTACGCCACCAGGGACTCAAATCCTGCAGTGCCAGACG